ACTCGATTTTGCAGTTGGCTCCGGACAAACCCGCGCTTGTGTTTGTACCCAATCGCAAGCAGACAAGATCAACAGCTATTGATCTCTTGGCTGCTTGCGCTGCGGATGATAACGAAGACCGATTCCTTCATGCTGATGTGAATGAACTTGCGCCACTACTGAATCGGATTCAGGAACGGACGCTGGCTGAATCGCTCTCCCACGGCATTGGATACTATCACGAAGCTCTTAGCGCTACTGACAAGCGCATTGTCTCGCATCTCTTCACCATTGGTGCGATTCAGGTCCTACTTGCTTCACGCGATGTCTGCTGGGACCTGAATCTCACGGCACATCTTGTAATCGTCATGGGGACACAGTTCTTTGAAGGCCGCGAGCACCGTTACATTGATTATCCTATCAGCGAAATCCTGCAGATGTTCGGCAAAGCTACTCGCCCTAAGGAGGACAAGATTGGCCGAGGTGTTCTGATGGTACCTTCAGTCAAGCGCGAGTATTACAAGAAGTTCCTTAACGAAGCTTTGCCCGTCGAGAGTCATTTGCAATTGTACTTACATGACGCATTTGTGACCGAGATCAGCACAAGGACAATCACTTCGACACAGGACGCCGTGGATTGGATGACTTACACGTATTTTTACCGTCGTCTCCTTGCCAACCCCAGCTTCTACGGTCTGAGTGACATTAGCCACGAAGGTCTCAGCACTTTCTTGTCCGAGTTGGTGGAGAACACATTGAGGGAGCTGTCGGAGGCTAAGATTATTGACCTGGATGAGGAGGATGACAGCGTCTCGCCCCTCAATGCGGCCATGATTGGCGCTTACTACAACATCTCCTTCATCACCATGCAGACCTTCCTCCTGTCGCTCAGCGCTCGCACGAAGCTCAAGGGTATTCTGGAGATTATCACCTCAGCCACGGAGTTCGAATCAATTCAGATGCGGAGACACGAAGACCACATTCTGCGACGAGTGTACGATCGTGTGCCCGTCAAGATGTCGCAACCCGCCTACGACTCGCCTCACTTCAAGGCCTTTGTTCTCCTGCAAGCTCACTTCTCCCGCATGCAGCTGCCCATTGATCTTGCCAAGGACCAGGAGGTCATTGTCAGCAAGGTTCTCAACCTTCTCAGTGCATGTGTCGATGTTCTCTCATCCGAGGGTCACTTGAACGCAATGAATGCCATGGAGATGTCACAGATGGTGGTCCAAGCCATGTGGGATCGGGACAGCCCTCTTAAGCAGATTCCTCACTTTGGCCCTGAAGCCATTAAGGTGGCCAACGAGTACAACATCAACGACATCTTCGAATTCATGGAAGCGATGGATCCATCCGAGAACAAGGACTACCCCACGTTGGTCAAGCGACTTGGTCTCGATAACTCACAGTTGGCTCAAGCTGCCGCGTTCACGAACGAGAAGTATCCCAACCTTGACCTTGACTTCCAGGTGGAGGATCCCGAGAACATTACATCCGGCGAGCCGGCGTATCTCAAGATCAAGATTGAACGGGAAGTCGAAGAGGACGAGGAACCTGACACCACAGTACACGCGCCGTTCTACCCTGGCAAGAAGATGGAGAATTGGTGGTTGGTTGTGGGAGACGAGAAGACGAAGAATTTGCTTGCCATCAAGCGAGTTACCATCGGACGCAAATTGGAGTTGCGCCTGGAGTACATTGTGCCCACGCCTGGTGAGCATGAGTTGACACTGTACCTAATGTGCGACAGCTATGTGGGTGTAGACCAAGCCCCCACGTTTACTGTGACGGCAGCTGAAGGCATGGAAGAGGATGAGAGCGAGGAAGAAGAGGAGTAAAGGGTTTATTAAAATCTGTTAGCACTAGATCCGTCTGTTAATTCTCTTTGTTGTATTTATACGGTCAATCTACGTGGAAGCAATGATAATAAGAATGTTCGATCCAATACTTCAGATCAGTCCGTAGACTCAGTAACTGATTACAGGACGGTCTTCTCCTCACGCGATAAGGCAGCTCTCTCCACATCTCCAACCTCCTCTTCTCTTCCCCCTTCCATCTCCCCCACAACCCCTCCTGATCTGACTACCATCCATCATTGTTTGATATCGCAGTTTGCAATATATACAGTATAATAACCGAATAACTTCAAGTTACACAATTCTGTCTGTTCACCCCCAATCGCATTGTCTACCCCTCAACGCTTGGCGCCGATCTTATCAAGACAGTCCTTATCACTGTGGAACGGACATGACCATCCGATCAATGAAGTTTACTCCAGAGTAAGTAAATCGGTCTCGTCTCTTCCTACAGCCGCGGAAGATCTTGAGTCAGAAAAGGCATATTCTACCCCAATTCGGATCGCTGACTTGATCAGGGTCCTCCTGGGAGCTCCCCGCCGCTCTGGGCCCATCCCCAACTCTTCAGGGACACTTGCCGTCTACACACAGACATCCTACTCCTTCGACTCTCATTCGAAGACCAATGAGATCCGTGTACTAGACATCGCCACCGGCCGATCAGCCCTCATCACGAACGATCCGGGCGCCAGCAGCCCACAGTGGCTGGATAACAGCGACCAACTGGTGTGGCTGAAGACCAAAGCAAATGGAAATACCAGCTTCATTGTCGGAGACGCGCGGGAAGTCGACAAGACCTACACTGCGGGCACTGTGCCCGGTCCCGTGTCCGACCTCAAGGTGACTGTTGTCGAACAGGGCAAAATTGGGTTTGCGGTGGCTGGGAAGGCCAACCCGGATGGGTCATTGTACAACCCACACGACGCCAAAAAGCCTCTCAGCTCAGGTAGGCTGTACACGTCCCTGTTTGTCCGACACTGGGACTCTTGGATTGAGCCACAGCGCAACGCCATTTGGTATGGGTTGCTGCAGCGCGCGCCCCTGTCTCCTGCTAGTCGACAGGCAGGCAGATATTCCGTCTCCGGGCTGACGAACCTGATCTCGATTTGCGGGCTAACTGGGGTTGAGTCGCCTATCCCACCTTTTGGCGGCTCAGGCGATTTTGACATCAGCCCGTCAGCAATTGTGTTTGTTGCAAAAGATCCTAACCTCAACCCCGCGACACACACGTCCTGCTCATGCTACTACTGTCCGATGTTCTCGTGGACCGGTGTAGGCGCTCTGGAAGCCAAGGTATGCACAGTCAAAGGTCTTGAGGGTGCTATGTCATCTCCTGTTCTCTCGTCCGATGGCAGCTCGATTGCTCTGCTCGGGATGCGTGAAGATGGCTATGAGTCGGACAAAAACAGAATCCTATACGTTCCAAACCCTTGGAGTGGTGAGATGATTGAGGTTTTCGCCTCTGCTGATGGCAAGGGACAGTGGGATCTCAGCCCGTCGGGATTGACGTTTGCTAAGGATGATCAGTCATTATTCGTTCAGGTCGAGGAGCAGGGCCGTGGCGTGTTGTATCAACTTCCTCTCGACAATGTCCGCCATAGTGCACCCGATGTGTTGAAGAAGCTCACGCATTCTGGTTATGTTACGGATGTTTTCCCTTTGGGGGCGAATTCATCGAATCTGTTGATTGCCAGCAACAATTTGGTAGACAATAGCTTGTGGACCATCATTGACACCCAGGATACATCCAAGGTCAGGGTCATCTCATCTATTGGCCGTGGAGGCGCCGCCTTTGGTCTTTCACCCACACAGGTGGATGAGATTTGGTTCAAAGGCGCGGAGGATCACCCCGTCCATGCGTGGGTGGTTAAACCGTCCAATTTCAAGCCTGGCAACAAGTATCCACTCGCTTATCTGATTCATGGGGGGCCTCAGGGCGCATGGAATGACCAATGGAGCACTCGATGGAATCCCGCCGTGTTTGCTGAGCAGGGTTACATCGTCATTACACCCAATCCCCGAGGTAGCACCGGTTACGGGCAACCATTTACGGACGCAATCCGTGGTTCTTGGGGAGGCCTACCTTATATCGATATCGAAAAAGGATTTGACTACATCGAGGAGAATCTGGATTACGTTGACACCACGAGAGCCGTCGCACTTGGAGCGTCTTATGGCGGTTATATGATGAACTGGATCCAGGGCCACCCTCTCGGCCGTCGATTCAAGGCTCTCGTCACGCACGATGGTGTATTCAGCATGACCTCTCAGCTTGCCAGTGAGGAACAATACTTCCCACTCCATGACCTGGGAGGCCCGATCTGGAAGGTCCCAGAGAACTGGGAGAAATGGGATCCGTCTCGTTTTACGGAGCATTGGCAGACACCCCATCTGATCATCCACAATGAGCTCGACTACCGTCTGACAATAGCGGAGGGACTTGCAGCGTTCAACGTCCTGCAGATGAGGGGGATCGAGAGCGCCTTCCTGACCTTCCCAGACGAGAACCACTGGGTGCTCAACCCGGAGAACTCTCTCGTATGGCACCAGACTGTTTTCAACTGGATCAACAAGTATGTCGGCTTGCCTCCAGTGACCGATGAGAAACGCGACGCCTTTTGCTCGAAGAAGACACCGTTGGAGAAGCGTGTAGCTGGGCTATCCCTTTCATAGTCTGAAGTTTTGTAACTCTGCGTTTGTGTCTTGGATGTGCACAATGACAATGACATCTTGATATAGCCTCGTCGGTATCCTTTGAATTCGAGTTTCTGTTTCATGATCTTTTATTGATTATCCTCAATGGATATTTGATTGCTTTGTTGGACGATCTATTGTCTGGTTTGTTGTTGCTAGCATGAAACGGAAAGCCTTCGAGACAAAGGGAGAGTACAATGTGGCCGAGTGCTGGTCATTTGGCACCAACAAAGAGTTCCTATTCTTGTCGTGGCTTTTCTTCACCGTAGCCTTTGTCACATATCAGCTGTTTCATGGTTCAGGACGAAGTATATAAGCGACGGTAACCTCGGATTTCCATGATCTCTCTGCTACGATCCAAGTGCTTAAATTTGAGCAATCTACTCCCACGCAGCAACCAAGGAACAAACTTACAGAGTCAGCCAAAGTCTATATCTCACTTTGACCTGAACTAATTCTTCCATATACAAAATGCAAGGCAGCAACAATCCCTCCCTCCCCGGTATCGTGATAGACCCGTCGTCCCCTCAATCCCCCACTATCTCCTGTGCATTCTCACCATCAACACCCACAAGCTCGACGTCGAGCCGATCAACACCACAGTCATCACAGCCAGCATCACCAGCGGAATCAAAACCAGCAAAACGACCCAAGAAGGTCCACCCATCCTTCCAGCCCGTCCTCCGCCATCTACGCACCCCTCTCTGCCCCCTCGTCTCCAGCACCACGGGGCAGCAACATCCCGAATTCCCCAAGACCCTCCTCGCCTACCACCTACTCACCTCTCGGCAACTGGACGATCTAGCCCGTCACTTCCACCAGGTGTGGCCACCGGTGGAGGCCACAAGGGCATACCCCGTCTCGATCCCCGCGTGGATCGGCACACAGGGCGAGAAGAGCGTCGATCTACAGACGAAGCGGCGACGGTTCGGTCGCTTTATTGGGCTGAGGGGGTGTGAGTCGCCTACTGTTAGTACGGCAGGATCTACCAGTGAGGACGACGCAGAGGAGCTTTTGGAGAGGATGGAGTGGGAGTGGGAGCAGGGGCTTCTACAGGCGCAGCGGGATGATCCTGATGCTATATTGAGGTGGAAGGCATGGGGGCGTTGATTTTTCTTTTGGAGTCTGGAGGTGTGTCGCACGCCTTGTCTTTGTTCGTCTTTGTCTTTGTGGAGTTTGTGGTGGGCAATGCCGCATGCTGCATGCATATTCAGCCTTGATAGATATGAAGTACATTTCAGCAATCGCATACTAGAATATCATTGGATAGGGATTACATTCAAAATCACGTCAATATACTCTACGGCATATCTGATTAGGGCATCGAATCTAATCCCCCGTTTAGCCTGATGGAGTGGTGGGGTAATTTCTTGGGGTCTATGTTTAGCCTGAGTCGGATAAAACCGAGGCACTAAGGTTGTATAAGAAGGACGTTCGATATCAGGATGCCCATGCAATCACTTCAGTTCTCTTCTCGCTAGACTAGACTAGGCTGTCAGATACGAAGAGGAAAATGAGCGAACCACTCGTCAAACACATCTACACCGCGGACCCCTCCGCCCACGTCTTCAACAACAAACTATACATCTACCCCTCGCACGACCGCGAGACAGACATCCAGTTCAACGACAATGGCGACCAATACGACATGAACGACTACCACGTCTTCTCGCTGGAGACCGTCGGCGGCCCCGTCACCGACCACGGCGTTGTCCTCAAGGACTCCGACATCCCCTGGGTCTCCAAGCAGCTCTGGGCCCCCGACGCCGCAACCAAGAACGGCAAGTACTACCTGTACTTTCCCGCGCGCGACCGCGAGGGCATCTTCCGCATTGGCGTCGCGGTGGGCGATAAGCCCGAGGGGCCGTTTGCGCCGCAGCCGAATCCCATCCGCGGCAGCTACAGCATTGACCCGGCGACGTTTGTCGACGACGGCGGGCAGGCGTACTTGTACTTTGGCGGGATCTGGGGCGGGCAGTTGCAGTGCTGGTCCCGCTCGGCGACAGGGGAATGGGAGTTTGATGCGTCGAAGACGGGTCCGCAGGAGCCCAGAGGGGAGGGGGTAAAGGCGCTGTATCCGCGTGTGGCGCGGCTGACGGAGGATATGCTTGAGTTTGAGGGGGAGATTCAAGAGCTGGAGATTGTGGATGAGGAGGGGAAGCCGCTGGCGGCGGATGACCATGAGCGGCGGTTCTTCGAGGCGGCGTGGATGCACAAGTATAACGGCAAGTATTACTTCTCGTGGTCGACGGGCGATACGCATTACCTGGTGTATGCGACGGGGGATAGTCCACTGGGGCCGTTCACGTACCGCGGACGGATCCTGGAGCCGGTGCTCGGCTGGACGACGCATCATTCTATTGCGGAGTTTCAGGGGAAATGGTATCTTTTCTATCATGACTGTTCGCTGTCCGGAGGGGTGGATCATCTGCGGAGTGTGAAGATGCGGGAGATTGTTTATGATGCGGAGGGGAATATCAAGCTGGCTGAATGAGCGCTTGTTGCAGATGTATAGCTATTTGCATGGTCTGAGAGATGTATATATCATGGAAATTTCGTTTATATCGTCCTGTCTCGTTCATCATAACGGCCTTCTTCGTACTTCAGAACCATCAATGTCCCATTCCCCTGGCTTGATTCTCCCTGACAATGCTCCAGTACTTGTCGCGACTGCGAGCTCGGAATGTCTTTCCCCATTTGATCATCACCAGGAACACGGCAGATATGGCCATGCCAATGAACGCCGCTGACACAAAGCAGTTCTGGTATCCCAGGTCTTCAAGCCAGGGTGTTATACTATTTTAGTCAAGTCGTCAGCACTCGCAGTCAAGTCCATTCGGGCCTAACCTACCCGTAGCCCATGGCAAACGACATTGTGTTGCGAACCAAGATCACACTAGCCATCGCATCGCCACTCAGCTCCCTGTAGCTGTCGACGAGATAGTTGACGCTCAGGGTTATTCCACAGGTGTTGGCGAGCGCAAGAAGGCACATCGCGACTAGAAGTCCGAACCAGTGGACCTCGTGGGCTGCACCCACACCCCAGAGTAGCAACGATCCAGGGACAATGATCAGACACGCAAGGAAGGGCCAGAGACGCTGCTCGGCTTCCATCACTCCGCCGTTCCGTCGAGCTAGTCTGATAGTAAGCCAGTCACTGAATCTTCCGGTGAAAAGAGATCTAGACTGAGTTAGTAGAGTCTGTATGTTGATTGCTCGCTAGTCATCAAGACGGACTCACCCGCAAATGACACCCAGACAGCATGCGAGATAGCTCAGACCGACCATCGATGAACTGCCATAGTTAGTCGGAAGCCTTCTAGGATGTTCTCTGAGCATCCTACCTGAAATTATATGGTGCCGACCCCAGAATAAGAGATGCAGTGGCATTCAACACGTTGAACCAAATAAGATACGAGCCATACGAAAACCTGCTCCAGTCAGTATCCGATGTTTCAGATGAAGGTGAGAAACCGGTTGACATACCCAGCATAGAAGATAACCGGCCAGCTCAGGTAGTACAAAGTTTGGTAGAACCTCCTAAACATGTTGTTCCTGGGTTGCCGAGGTCCAATGATTGACAGCTTCTGAATATACGTTTTCTTGCTGTACATAACTCCGCACTCTGTTTGATCCGGTTGTGCAGTGGCAGGTAGAGGCTTTTCCCGGTCACCTTGCTCGGAGGGAGTCGTTGACGATTCTAACATGCCCTCGACCGTGGCTGTCTCGGCACGTCTCCGCGCGTAGTTTGTCTCCTCCATGAAGAAAAAGAGGAACACGATAGTAACAGCGCAGAATACGGCAGGCCAGTAGAAAACCCATTGCCATCCCTGATATTGGGCGATGAAGCCGCATATTACTGGCGCAAAGTAGTTGCTCCCGGCCAAGAAGAAGGCGTACAGGCCCATATACCTCCCTCGTTCATGGGTAAAGCACTAGACTTATCAATAAGTGGCGTGAACGTTTGATCCACAAATACTTACCACATCGGTGACGGTCACTTCTGGAAGGGCTTCGATCGGAGCAACGAAGAAGCCTGAAAGAATGCTGCGGCCAATCCACTCGCCGTTTGAACGAACATAAGGACTGTTAGCAGTCTCATCATTAGCGATTGAAGTCTACGACGGAGCGTCATGACAACGTACCCCCATACCAATGTAGCCTATTGCAAGGCTCTCTGTCAGAATCTTGACCTGGCAACCGTACAATAGCTTTGTAGACTCACCAATATTCCAACTAACGAGAGAATGTACGTCAATCGTTTACCATACTGCAATGCAAATGGTTGCCAGAAGAGAAGGCCCCAGCCTGCGAGCAAGAACAGATATCCGGTTCCCTGGTTGAGAGTGTCCACCGCAACACCGGTCTCTTCAGAGAGCTGAACAAGCACAGAATAAACGACTGAGGTTGAGATGCCTGCAAACAAGGTGTACCTGGACGGTAGGGAGCAGATTAGCTGTTCGGTCAAGAACTCTAGATCAAAACAACCTCTTCGGTCGACTCACACGCTCACACAGATCGTAGATAGTAGCTTGCGCCGTGGTGACCAATTCAGGGGATCATCTGGGTCATTGGAGGGTTCAGGCACAAGGACAATATCTCTGTCTCCTCTATCAAGGTGACGAGTGGCCAATACACCATCCACGTCCACCAGGGTGAAAGTGCCTGGGATGGCGTCGCTGTCCACACGGGGGGCCATGACGATATAAAATAACTGCAGGAGGCCAAAATGTTATTTGCAAACTGCAATAACGCTGTTTACATGTCCTTGAATGTCCCAAATGTATATACACTGCTGCCAGCCCGATGGGTGTGCAATTGGTCTGCCGATCAGAGTCGAGCGGTGAGCTCAAGATATAAGTCAAACTGCAGGATGTATCAATCACACTGCTACGAGCTTTAGTCTCGAAGACGACCTGAGAGTCGAAGTTGAACGGTAAGTACGAGTACTCGTTATCTGCTCCTCTCGAGGATCCACAGACGCGACATTCCTGATAGATAGCAGGCGCAAGCGCAGCGTCACATATGTACCACATCGCACAATAGCCGATAAGCACGGGTCGGAAGCATTCCGCTATCATGGGACTGGATGATGCAGCATGGATACATCGAGCTCAGATATCAACGAGGCCCACTTGACCGCTTATCGGGGCTCTCTCCACGAGGAGACGATGATCCATAGAAGTCGAGATGAGGGAAGCAGGTCCCTGGCTCAGTGACTCCAGCGATACAAAGACGGCCAATGCTCTGGAAGCGGACCTTTCTCCCCTCGTGACGGTACTTTGTCTGGAGAGAAAGGAACAAGGATGATGGGCTGCTGGTGAGCTTCATTGGACAGTCTCAATGGCCGTCGAGCTAAGCAAGGAGCTAGCCAGTACCACTGGGGTAGTTTCACCGTAGCTTGACAGTAGTCGATTTATTCCCTCCTTGTCCTCCGCGTCATTGGACGGGCTCGCCGACAGACATGGCAAGAGATAAACTGATCTGTTTGAGTGGTCGATAAAATTCGTGGTCAAGTTGGAGACAGCTGGGTTCCCCCGCACATAAATTATATATCTCAGCAATTATTCTCATTGGACGTCTCCACGGAGACAACGTCTACTCATTAGCTAAGTACGGGATGCACATTGGTTCTATTATCTGGTCAGCAGAGATGGGTTTACCTACAAACGCCGCAGAGGTATACTCATCTAGGAACAATCATATCTCCTTTCCTACACACAAGTACACAGACAACCTTGTCAACACTACAGCCGCTTAAACTCCTGCCCTACCAGCTGCTCACTTCGTGTCCACAACGCTCGACCGTTTTCCTCGCCGGCAGGAAAGTCAATCTTTGGCAGAGCAAGAATTTGGCAATTGTCTAGGTATGCGCCGGAGCGTTCTATTGCCGATGCAAATCCATCAGCACGATAGCCTCCGGTTGACACATTGCAACCATAGGAGGACCCCACTCACCACTGATATCCGGGTCGAGAAGAGCTCTGAGAATCGTGGCAATCCCCTGCGACGCCGACTTTGGCGCTTGTTGAAGAAGCAGCGGTAGGTCTTCCCCCACTTCAAACAGGCTGACTGTCAGAAACTCATCAAATGCAGGGAGTCATCTGGTTCTGCACGCACACTCTTTCTTCCTTTGGAGCCATGAAGCTACCTGCTCTGGCGAAGCAACGGTCTGAAGGCTTGGCTTGGTGTCTGAAGGATGTTAAGCACAGGCCGAAGATGGAAAATGACGGGGTCGCAAACTCACTTCCAGCATTGACAGAAAAGGTGGCCATTGACCGTCCAGAGCCCGTGATAGCCAGGCACTTGACCATCTGAACGTTGGCAAACATCGATAGAGCATATGCATCCAGTGGATGATATGTCTTTCCATCCTGCAGAATCGGCAGATACCCTTGTGATTACCTTTCATATCCTAACCCAAACCAGAGCAAATCACTTACTGCGAAATTGGGGTCATCCCAGGCCGGCGGCGGCGCTTCAGGCCGGATACTAGAGCAAACCATGACCACCCTTGAACCCGCCGGCATCAAGTGCACCACCAAATTGATCAGGAGGAAATTGCTGAGATAGTTGCACTGGAAGTGAGACTCGATTCCGTCCTCCGTCTTCATCCACAGTCCAGCCATCACCGTGGGAAATCCCACAAACCCATCAATGGGAACCTCAAGCTTCCTAATAGCTTCCGCCGCCTCGCGCACAGAGGCCAACCGGCCAAAATCTACCGAGATGTAGATCAGCTTCACCTTGGGATGTTTGTGGTTGATATCGTCGATCATCGCTTGCGCTTCGGCCTGCGACTTGCCCATCAGGATAAGGGCGGCTGCATCGCCGCTTGCCAGGGCCTCGGCGGTTGCTGCTGACAGACCTGTCCCACTGACTCCGGTCAAGAGGACTTTTTATGGAACATGATTTAGCTTATGATTACAGTCTTTGAAAGGGCTTGACATCTTGGCCTACATGTTCGTTTCTCGATGCTCAGGGGAAAGGCATTGACCACATCGGCACCTTTGGTCTCAAATCCCCATTCGATGGCCATGTTTGCGACTGTTGATCATGAGCTCACCGGGTCTGTACAGCTTGGCAGCATTAAGAAACCTCACCTGTCGCGAGCCGTTTATTAGAATGAGCTTTTCGTTTTCGTCATTGTGAGTCCGTCCACATTACGTATGAAAGACGTCCTAAGCATTGGAGATATCTATTCGGTCCGGTGGACTGTTACCAAGGTCAAAAAAGTCTGAAGGACCAATCACCAGTGTATCAGGAAGCAGAGTGTCATCGACCGAATTCACTTGTGGTCCCAGACAGACAACAGTATAATCGAGATACAAATTTGATAAGAGATGGTGGACTCCAAGGAGATATCCAGGGAATATGTTGAGCACTCGGCTCATACTTTACAAATCGGATTGAAACACAGCACAACCCGCACATAATGGCCCCATCAAGACAAGGCGTTGGACGCAAGGACGCGAAAAGGAAGACAGGTGACGGTCACTCAATAGAGAAGGAAATGTCATTCCTGATAGTATAACCCCGTTTAGGCTGATCCTGAAGCGATGCCATCGTCATCCGAAAGATCCTTGATCACGTCCTTTATGATCTGAATGAGCTCATCGATGTCAGGACGGTCAGCAGGCTCAACCTGCAAACACTTCCGGACTACCTCTTTCACTGGCTCGCTGATGGTTGCAGTGTTGTCTTTACCCGCATCCTCAGCTCCAGCTCGGCCTTTACCCTTGGTGGCCCCGGGCTTCTCATCCGGAAACCGCCAGTCCCCGCCCAATACACACATACTGAGGCTACCGCCGGTCTCCTCGCTTCGGGCCTCAAAGGGGCTTTTCCCTACAAGGCAGGCGTACAATGTGCATCCCAAGGACCAGATATCGACCTTGGTGTCAATGATTGACCCGGTCTTGACGTCGAATAGCTCAGGCGCTCGGTACGGCATGGTACTGTGCTCGGCAGCAGTATCTTGGACGGCCAGAGCTAGTGAACGGGAGGTGATAGCAATGGGACTGGGCGCTAGGGAGCCGAGATCCATTAGGATCGGAGTCTGACCGTCATCGTCGATCATGATATTGCCTGTCACAAGTCAGCCACCCAGCGCATAGAATTGCAGACGCACCAGCTCACCAGGTTTGATGTCCCTATGCGCATAAGGGCGAATTTCTCCCTCCTGAACTCCCTCCTGGCTTATAGTAACCTCGTCATCCATCAACGGCTCGTTTTCTGAATCTTCTTCGTCTACTCGCTGGCTTGCTCGACGCTTCGGCTTGCCCATTTGCATTGATAATTGTGCGTCCGCCTCCTCGCCCTCGCGTCTGACCGCTTTGGCTCTGCGCGTAGACCCAGCGCCACTCTTTACCCGATACTGGTGCATGGCTTTAAGCGCGTTGGCGACACCGAGCATAAGCACCATTAGCCTCTTCTCGGGAAAACGAGTATGGTTCACGAGATTCGCATTGATCGCATCTTGAAGATTCCCGCGTTGGTAGTAGGGAAGCAGGATGTAGACGGTTTTCGATCCTGGTTCGCCGCCATCGGAACGAAACTTCGAGCCCGGCTCCGTAGATACGCAATGGTCTATCGAATGGATGATGTTCGGTTGTGATGTGAATAGGTTGTAGGCTTCGACCTCTTTCAAAGCTTGTGATACAGATTCTTGGCCGAATGGACACCGGATCTTCTTCAAGGCGAAGAGCTCTGATGTCGCCTTATCTTGGACAAGGTAAACGTAGGAAAATCCACCCTAGCAGAGTCGGCAATGTCAGTTGAGGAGGTATAGCAACGAAATAACAGAGTCTGGAGATCCGACTGACTTACTTCACCAAGGAGCCGTAACAATTTGAAGCTGCGATTGTTGATTTTCAACTGCGGCGTGCTCGGAAAGCAGCACATGCAATCTGTAAAGTTGTAGAGCAGATCGAAGAAATACTGAGCCATCTTGCGCGCCGAATCAGGGAAGCTGTCGCGACCGACTCTATATCAGAATGAGATTATGATCTTTTCGCGATCTCCCCAGCTCATCAATCTTCAGTTGTCGCACAAGTGCCTCCACGGAATCGTCGACGTGCGTGGTTCCGCTGTCCCGCTGTGGAGCAATCACGTACTTCGTGCCAGTGAATGGAAGTCGGGAAGCGAGATTGGATAGTTAATGTTCAGGGACAAGTGGCCTCGATACTGGAGCGGGAGCAAGGATAAGGAACGCGAGGAGAGAATCGTGGGAGATGAAGGTGCCAGGTGGACGAACCGGAGAGATGTTAATCAGGAGAACTGCAAGGTAGTTAATTGTTAGCGTCGGGGAACGGTGACTGCTGTACAGAGTAGTGTCTCCTATGTCTCAGTCGAGCATGTGTCGCAGTAAGGTTGGAATGGAGAGGTGATGAAATGTCTCATCAACAATAGGATATCTTCAGAGATTAAAGGGAACATCTGCCTTACAGCCGTGGAGTTAGTTGGATTGATTACGCCGCATGGGCACTGTGGAGCAGTAGTTAATAATAATACTACGAGTACCGAGCAGATAAACCCATGGTTCGTGTCTCCGTTGTTTGTTATCATCATCATTGACCATCATAATGGCTATTTTAGTATTCCGTAGAAGTTGTTGATACATAACAGGGGAAGCAACATGATCAGACTATCAGTGCAATTGTCCGTGATCGATGTCTCGACGTCAATCCTCTCCTAACTATCTCTAAAACACCATTCGTCATTCCCTTTTTGCCAATTAGCTCTCGTTCTTTTCATTCTTCTTCTTCGGGCTTCTTCTCTGCCCAACTGGGAAAATAATAATAAGAAAAAGAAACGCCTCCGTTAGGCCCCTTAAACTGTTAACAGTCCATTGTTGGTTGACAGGAAAGCCATGAAAACTTATCTGCTCCTATCAATAATCAATCCATGATCAGTCAATGATCTAAAGTGCAGGAGCTCCACTCGTGTCTGTTCTTCCTTATACCGCATCATCCCTTTAATGCCGCTCTTTTCCTTTCCCCCTCCTGACTTGTGTCCCTTCTGAATTTCTGGACCCTTCAAATTTCCGCTCTGGTCGCGTTCGTCAATTCGAGCACTTTGAGGCCGCTCTCTCTCAAATCTCGAACTCCATCGCCATGGCGCCTCTCGACGATATCCAGGTTGGCGATGTTGTGAATGTTCCCGGGGGCATGTATGGGACGGTCCGCTACCTGGGCAGCGTTGCCGGAAAACCAGGCAAGTTCGCCGGAATCGAACTGGCTCCGGAGCATGCCAAGAGAGGAAAGAACAATGGAGATGTGGAAGGGAGAAAGTATTTCAAGACCACTGTCCCTGGTTCCGGCATCTTTGTTCCCATGAACAACAATCGCTACGTCACGAAGCGATCCTCCACATCCGCCCCTACCGCGACCACCGCACCCCCGACGCCTTCGCGACCGATCAATTTCAGCAAATCCGTCGGACCCAGTCCTGCAGTACCTCGTCCGCGTGTAAGACGACCCTCTCTACCTCGCCCTGAATCGCCTCGTGGTCCGCCTCCCTCCAAGCTTAGCCTTGCCGGTCTTCGTACTCCATCCACCGCTTCTCGAGCAGGGCCGAGTCCCAATGGCTATCCTCGAAGTCCGGTTAAAGCTCCGTCTCGCGCATCCGATAGGGCTCCCTCCCGCATGAGCGTGGACGATGACTTGTCCTCGGTTAGGACTTCCGACTTCCATCGCAGCTCGATGGCGTCGGAGGTGCAGGAATTGAAAGATCAGATCAAGAGCCTGGAAAAGCAGCTACTGGACCGCGATAAGCAACTGGAGGAACAGGCAAATACACTTGCGGAATTCCATAGGACAATTGAGGACCTGGAAGGTTCGGATGCCCTGTCCATCAGGGCCCAGCTGCGGGAGAAGAATGAGAGGATTGCTCAGTTGACAGCAGAATTCGATCTACATCGAGCCGACTTCAGAAGCACCCTTGATACGCTGGAGATAGCCGCGTCCGAGACCGAGCGGGTCTACGAGCAGCGCCTGGACGAACTCATGCAACAGAATAAAGAACTACAAGACCGGGGTGAGGATGTCGAGGCCGTTGCCAGGCAGCTGAAGCAGCTGGAAGAGCTGGTTTCGGAGCTAGAAGAGGGCCTGGAAGACGCAAGACGTGGCGAGGCGGAAGCGCGGGCTGAGGTTGAGTTTCTACGAGGGGAGGTGGAAAGGACAAAGCTTGAGCTGAAAAAAGAGCGCGAACATTCCAGCGCCATGTTGAGGGATGCCCATTCAGGCGGAGACGGAGGCCGGCAGTACTCGAAGGAACTAGATCAGAAAGACGACGAGATTCGCGGCCTCAAAGCCATCATCCATTCATTGAGCAGGGGCGACCCGAACTTCCCTGGCCTGCAGAATGGGCTTGCAAGTTCTCGACAGGACCATGATTCCGAACAAATTGCTCATCTGGAACAGCGTATTCAGGAATTTGAGCACGCAACCGAGAGCAAGAACTATCGCATCGAGGAGCTTGAGCGGGAGTTACAGCAGTTGCGGCTTAGCAATGAAAGCCGTACTCGCAGCTCCACGATCAGCGCTCCAGCGCCTCACCATAAACCATCGAACTCTGCTGGATATATCGGGACCGCGAACACTATCAACCATGCTCATCGACTGTCTGACCGCACAGTGGTCCCTAATGACTGGCAAGAGCAACCTCATGGTGAAGGTCAGTATCAGCCGTTTGGCTCGCACCACCGAGGAGCTTCGGACTCCTCGCGCCACCGTCTGGAGACCATGCATGAGGCCGATGGCCGCTCTGATGATGGCAATTCCTTGTGGTGTGAGATTTGCGAAACCGGCGGTCACGATATCTTGAGCTGCACAAACATCCTTGGTGCCGAAACCAAGAACGAGCATGCACTCCCTGTTGAGCAGTCACACCACGAGGGTTCTGTGGACGGCAAGTCGACCCCCGGGACTTCCATCGCCGGAGAATCCTTTCCTTCAAAGGATGAGGATAGCGCCACCCCTCAAAAGACAGGACGAGATGCCGTCCTGGAGGGATTGAAGGGTATTAGTGGAGGACTCACAGCTTCAATGGCTCCTGTTGCAGGGAAGGCCAGTGGAGTGATTGATGAAACGAAGTGGTGTGCCCTCTGTGAGAGGGACGGTCATGAAAGCATTGATTGCCCTTTTGATGACTGAGCAGCGGCCGTTGCGTCGGGATGCTGCTGATGGTGGCTCATGTTGGACGATCACCTATTTCTTCTGTCCTTTATGTCTGAGCGGGTTTCTCCATTCGGCACATTGCCGAACCTATTAATACTTTTGCATACTTGCTATTCTGGCAACGCCATGCGCCTGTTGCCCTAGACTGCGGTTTCGCACTTTTTATAATCTCCTTTTTGGGGGGCTCGCTGTCATGACCATACGAAGCCCAGCCTTGCCGTTGGAGACTCAACCTCAAGGCGAGACCTTATTCAGAGCTTGTGTTAATACCTTCATCGCTCTTCGAGCCCTCACTCTTTCTCTGACTCGGCTGTTGCCAGCTCTTTCCTTTCATTTCACCCTCTTTTGTATTCATACTGTACTTTTTTCGGGCTCAATAGACCCTGTTCTTACAAACACCTCCCGCAGAATCGCAGAACCTCGGCCCATCCTACCCATCTTTTATTCCCGCTATGCTTCAGCAATAATTACATGATGCGTCCGAGCCAGTTGCAGTTTCCAGCTCTCCTCTGGTCAGCAGCGCATTTTGGCCAACGACCTGTGTCTGTCTCATCAAATCAATGTACAAATTGGAGATTGTCACAGTACAACACTTGAACAACTACATATAGTACATTACTCATCATCCGGTTTCCTCGGAGTCTCGTTTTCGTCCCGCCTACAGGTTAGAAAGTAGAAACCCAGTCACTCCAGAAACCTAGGCGGCTGTACAATCTCCCCTTCTTGATATCTCGTTTCCGCAATGGTCCCACATGCCTTGCAAGTCCGCTTCTCCTGATCAGCAGCAAATTCCTCCACCACCTCCTTCACCTGTGTCCCCAAATCCGTACACACAAACCGCTTCTCCCAGACAACCTCCCCGCACTTCTTGCAGAACCACAGCATCGTATCAACCGCGTCTTTGGGCCGAGGCTGCTCCATCACCACACCGACAGTGTCCTTGAACCGGACAGGGCAGTGCGGGGTGTTGGCGGGCAGTAGGAAGATCGATCCTTCATGGATGGGGATATCCTGGAAGACGGGAGGAGAGACTGATGTATCAGCTGTCTTTAGAAGCATGGAGCCTCGATACTGATAGAAGAATTCTGGGGTCGTGTTGATGTGATAGTCCGTGCGGGCATTTGGTCCCCCAACGATCATGACTGTGTATCCGGCTGTCGCGGGGGAGGAGGGGTGATAGACGCAGTAATTATTCACCGGCGGCTGAAGGAGATGCGAGTTTTCTTCGAGCCTGTAACCCGGTCATTATCTGGATTGTAAGTGCACTTCATGGTTTCGTATCAGGAGATGCTCCCTGGAAGCGGGGGAGGGGTATGCGGTTTCGGGTGGGACTTGAGGTAGGAAATACCATTTCGGGATATTCAGAGCTGGTGGCAGCATTGTCGCAAGTTTTTTTTCTTCCTTTAGAGGTCTTTCTGATGCCTGACAGACTTTTAATCGACAACCTGTGAGATTTTATTCTTGCTGTCATACATGGTCTGATTATCAAGCAAAGACCGAAGCCGATGCGGTCATCCCATCAGGCGGAGATAGCCGGAGATAGATAAAGAGGACGCCCGGAAAGGAAGATCGTCTCTCCGACCGATTTTCTTTTTTATCAAAATTATCCACACTTTGAGATTGAGAGAATCAGCTTCTGATATCGACGACAGGATATCGGAAGATCTCCAATCCAGCAATCATGGCCACTACATCTCAGCCTCCCCTTCGGTTTACCGGTCACAAGAATTTTGTGAACCGACTGGTCTTTTCAACCTTGACCGGTCGTGC